GGATTTTTATTAGTTCATTTTCAATTAAAACAAACACATAGCAGCCAATACACTCTCTCCCACGCCACTTTCACTGTTTTGATTGAAAAATCAAATACTTCTTTTCTTCTTGATTTCTTAAGGCCACGGAGGATCTAGCCAATCCCTCCTTGGTTCTTGGTGGTTGTCTTCGTGTGGACTTCTTGGTTCGATCCTATACTTGGATCGGTAGCAAACACGTTCAGAGACAATATTGGTGGAGCCTCCAACGTGGGTATGAATCTAAACTTTAGATTTATTTTATTTTTTGCAGATTCTTGATATTATACATAAACTGTAAAATTTATGCCTTGATTTTAGGCTTTAAGGAACGATCTACGGTTGTATAAAATTTTGTTTTCCACTGAGCAACCGGGTCGTTTCATAACAAAGATAAGTAGGATCCCATATGCATCCACTATTGGGTCTATCATGTACGCTATGTTATGTACTAGGATTGATGTCTCATGTGCCTTGAGCACTTGTAGTAGATATCAATTGGATCCGGGTGAACAACACCGGACAGTAGTAAAGAACATCCTTAAGTACTTGAAGAGAACTAAGGATGCATTCCTGGTTTATGTAGGGGAGGAAGAGCTCACTGTCAGAGGATACAGTGATGCCAGTTTCTAGCTAATAAAGATGATTATAAATTGCAATCAGGATATGTGTTCTATCTCAACAATGCTGTAGTGACTTGGAAGAGCTTCAAGCAAGCCACCTATGGCGGATTCTACTATGGAAGCTGAGTATATTGCTTTGTTCGATGCAACCAAATAGGCGGTTTGGATCAAGAAGTTCATTACTAAACTTGAAGTGGTTCTGAGCATAGTTGATCCAGTAGAGCTTTACTGCAACGACATTGGTGCTATTACTCAAGCCAACAAACCGAGGTCTCATTAGCGATCCAAACACATACTTAGATGCTCCCATCTTATTCAAGAGATTATCTAGAGAGGCAATGTGCAAATCTACAAAGTTCCTATTGAGGACAACGTTGCAGACCCACTAACGAAAGCTTTATCACAGCAGAAGCATGATAAACAATTAGCATCATTCGGTATTAAATACATGAATGATTCGCTATTGTGCAAGTGGGAGATTGTTAGGGCAAGTGCCCTAGAGCCAATCTAATTGTAGTAATCGACTACTTGTAAAAACTTGTTGATGTTAATAAAAGGCAATTTATCTATATCATTCAGTTTATATACATCTTGATACATGTCTTTATAATGGTGGAACTATGACGAGGGAATCAAACGATGATAAAAGAGTGATGTTTTCAAAGAAATAAACCAAGCGTAGTAAGTAAAAAAGAGAGTGATGATGTTATTTCCAATGAAAAGTGATTGATCTATTGGGCTTCTCTTTTTTTTCTTCCTTCCAAAATTCATAAAGAAATTTATGCTTGCTTGAGAGCATGTTTTTGGTCCGAAGTGGATATGAAGAGACATAAGGCTAGGATTGCTTGGGAGGATGTTTGTGTGCCTAAACAAGAGGTGGCCTTGCTATTATGAAGTCTAAGGAGTGGAACATTGTTGCTACTTTAAAACACCTTTGGAATCTTTGCAACCATAGAAAATCTTCCATTTGGGTAACTTGGGCGAGAACTTACCTTCTTAGAAATATAAGTCTTTGGGAGATTAATGCACCTCAAGATTGTTCTTGGTCTTGAAATATTCTTAAGTTTAGGGTACTAGTTAGGGGGAAAATTAAAAGCATTATTGGGAATGGGAATCTTACTTCTCTTTGGTTTGATAATTGGCACCCCAATGGCCCTTTGTTGTGTAAGTATGGAGAGCGTATTATTTTTTATTTGGGTTTTGCTAAAGATGCTAGAGTTAGTGTTGTGATTGATGACATATGTTGGAGATGTCCGATGGTAAATTTGTGGGCTCTTATGGACATGATAAATTCGGTAAACTTTAGTCCTTTTGGTGAAGACAAGGTTACTTGGACTCCATGTTCTTTGGGTTGTTTTTAAATTAAATCAGCTTGGGAGGTTATTAGAGAGAGGAAACCAAAAGTTGATTGGAGTGACTTGCTATGGTTTCATAATTCTATTCCCCGACATGTTATGATTGTTTGGATGGCAATGACAGGAAAACTCCCCACTAAGGATAATCTCATGATGTATGGTGTTACTTCTAATGCTAATTATTGTTTTTGTAATATGGGGCAAGAATCCTTAGATCACCTTTTCTTTGCTTGTCCATTTACTCACTTTGTGTGGTGTAATATCCTTGAGTTATCTCATTTTGGGTATTTAGTAAGACCTTGGCATGATTACATCTTATATCTTGCAAGAAGATGGAAGGGAAAAAAGCTCAAATATGCCATCGGTAAGCTTTGTTTAGGAGCTACGGTGTATTGGGTTTGGAGGGAGAGAAATAGTAGGATGTTTGGGGGAGAGTGTAAGGATATTCTTTCTATTATTGATTCTATCAAGCACATTGTGAGAGAAAGCGCTAATGGATCTTAAAAACTTCAAGGCCTCCTTCAGTAATAGGAGATTAGCAGACTCTTGGTTCATTCCTAAGGCTGTTTTCAAGTCCTATTCCTTTGATACTACTCTTGTGTGATGCTTCCGCATTTCAGCCAACATCCTTGGTGAAGATTAGAGGTTTTGGTTGAGTTCTTTGTATTCCCTGTATTTTCCTCTCTCTCTCTTTTTTTTTTTTTTTTTTTTTTTTTTTTTTTTTTTTTTTTTTTTTTGTGTGCTAGCCTTGTTCCCACCCGAGGTGTTTATCCTATGGTATGATTGTTTTGTTTTGGTTCTAGCTCTCGGATTTGTGTAGCTTTTTCCTTTTGGATGCTTTGTGCTCCCTATTGGCATGTCTCAAGGTCGGGTGGCTGTCCTTTCTTTTGGTATTGGGTTGTGTTTGGGTTAGAGTTAGTTGGTCTCTTCTTCTTACCAGTCTTTTGTTTATAAGATTGCAAAACAAAAGGAGTGGGTGTTTTTGGGCAACCTCTGTTGAGGTGTGGATTCCTTGTTTTCATTTTGTGTTGTTGCTTTGTTTAGTTGCTTAGTTTAGCAATTAGTTAATAGTTTTCATGATTACTTGATTATTTTGTGCCTAACAGAGGATGACATATATTTTTTTTTTCAATCAAAAGTGAAAAAAATTGGGTTTGCGTGAGAAAATGATTTCTCATAAAATTTTCAGTGAGATCTAAGCAAGTCTGTAAGGTCTATTTACTTGGTTGACAAAATTTCAAGCTTTATTATATTTCTTCAATTGTTGTATGCCTGGAAGTTTATAGAGACAAATGAGATTTTAATTGGATTTTGATGAAGAAGAAAAAGAAGGTGACATCTGGCCCTACTTCGAGATTGAAGATCTATTGATTATATTTCTTCAGTTGTTGTATGCCTGGAAGTTTATAAAGACAAATGAGATTTTGATCGAGATTTTAATTTGATTTTGATGAAGAAGAAGAAAAAGAATGTGAGATCTGCATCTGCTTTGAAATTGAAGGTGACAGAATTTTAGGCTTTATTCTATTTCTTCAATTGTTGGCTTTGTTGGAGATTTAGGATTTGGATTTGATCTTTTTCGAGTGAAGAATGAAGATTGAAAATGCAAAATTGGAGATTGAAGGATGCACGAAGAATAAATGGTGAAAACCGGAATAAAAATCAATTTTACCCTTTTAGGGGTTGAAAACCTGAATTTTGCCTTCGCCCGATTTTGCCCCAAAACTGATTGGACCGGCAGTCTACTACAGTGACCCGGGTCCAATCGCAAGTCATACCAGGTGAATGCATATACCTAAATTTTATGTCGGCCTAGCCCGACTTAATGGTCGATTCTCGGTCGAATCGCGGTTGAACCGGCTAGATTGGGCCACATTTTAAAACATTGGTAAAATGGTAACACATAACCATTGTACTAGTACTAGTAAAAGAGCGGTCTAGGAATGTACGATGTTATTTTTTTAATTCAAATTATTTTAGTTAATTAATTAGTATAAAAATCTTGTTTAAATATTAAAATAACTATTGAGTTTGAAATATGCTTTTTATTTTGGTTTAACTTATAACATATACTGTAAAACCTCTCTATAATCATAATATTGGGACTAACTAAATTTATTACTATAAAAAGGTTATAACTTAATAGAGGTGTAGTTACAAGAATTATTGTTTTGATAGTATGGAAATGTGTATCAAAGAGTCATTATAAAATTGAGTGATTAGATTCAACAACTTTACTACACTAATCAAATGGATATTAATATCTTCTTTAATCATCCAAATAAGCAACAAGTCGTGTATGCTTTAACTGAAGAAGAAATCATTATTGGAATTAGATAAGAAGAGGAAGGAGATAATCTTAAGGATGAATATAGTACAGAAATACCAAAAGTTTCGTACCAAAAAACTCCAAACATACAGTTAGAAATATTTTGGCTTTAACAAGAAGGTGTCCATATTGACGACTTATTACATACCCGCAAGACAAAATATATGATAACAATTCTAAAATATAAATCATTGTCTCAAACAACTTTAGATAAATATTTTATTTCATCGTAAACATTTAATGTAACATAATATATATTTTTTTATAATATACATACAATTATTACTATGTAGAGGCAAGTTCCTTAAAACGAGACATAGAGAAACTATAATTTATTACAACGTGAAATTTATTATTATATAACAGACCCAAGTTAGGACCAAATTTTTTTTAAAACTACATAGAAGTTATTCCTATATGGAATATCACTATAAAGAAGCTCTACCTGTGTTTTGTTAGTTTCAATAAAAAGTTAATAGTTACAATTACAAAATAGACTTCCTCTCACCAACGAAGAAAAATTAATTCCGTAAGCAACATAATATCGAACAATGATTTTGAAAGGAAAAAAAAATTATTAATGATGAATATTGTTTTTAGTGAGAAAATAGAAATTATTTCAATAATATATCAAAATAAATTTTTTTAACTCGAAATAAGTATATCAAAACTTTCAATATTTATAAAGAAATAACGCAGTAGATATTCAGAGGGTAGATTAAATTCTCAGTATTAGAATCTCAATAAATATGACTAGTTATGCGATAAACCATAACAATTATAGGATGATATGATAAATCCTCCATTTTCCTATAAACAATATAAGACTGACACATAAAAAACCACATTAATTATACAGAATTATTGATTAAATTAGCCATAAAAGAAATAGTTCAAGTTTAATCTAACTTTGAAATTCTTATATACAAAATAATGTTATGCAATTTTCAACAAAAATGCATTCCCGACATTAATATGAAACATACTCGGCTACAATACATGCTTATTCTACCCAATTAATGTCTAAATCTTTCAGTTTCATGATCCATTTTTCTGTATCTTGAGAAACATAAGGTTTAGATGAAATTTTACCTTCACCTTCTAAATCCATAGATGCTACATAATCAGTTTTCTTATCCTTGCCAGTATTTGCATGTCTGTTGGGGTGCCTCATCTTCAGCGATAAAAGGCGCGATACTTCATGGAGGCCTCCCCATTTCTCCAATGCGCGAGCAATGTCATAACGGCCTGCAAAATAATTTTTTGAGAAGAATGAAAAAGTAAGCAAACAGAAAAAATGAAAAGCAAAATATTGAATCACCCAGCCAAGTTGGAGCGATGAATTCATTTGATTAACTTCTATTTGAAATGTCGCAACTTGGGAGAAAAAGGTTCCTTAAAAATGAGTTTTGAGTATATTTATGCTACTATATGCAATAAAAACTTTTAGAAACAAAATTTTTCATTAATCACACTTTGAAATCCCAAGTGCCTATTTTGGCCAAAATCCCTGTGTAACAAGTACATGGCATATTGTATAGTGTCATGGTTTTATGAACAAATTTCAGACTTGACAAACTTGAGATTCACAATTCATGAACTAATTTAAGATAGCACAATGAATGATGTCATGATTGTATGAACAATTTAATACAGAAAGATCTTATGATCCAAAGTTTAATAACTGATACAGTGGATAAATATGAGAGACATTTTGATTTGAAGCGTTATAGAACTGGATATAATCACTAATACAAATTTCATTAAAAATCAGAATTCACATGTGAGAGATGATTCTTATTTTGCAAGCTATTTTGGACCTGTTTTACCAAACACTTCTAAGTGAACTTTAACATTTTAAAATTGCTTTAGATCAGCTAACGACAATCCTCTAAGACTAATTTTCTATTCAAACAATTATTCTCATGAGTATACTGTAGTATATTCAGTCTAACTAAAAGAAATTCATATGAAGCTAGCCACCTAGAATTTGATGTGACAAAGATGTAACATAAAGGAGATGCAAAAAGAGCTCTTACCAGCACGCTCAAAAGATTTTCTACTGGGCATAAATGATGGATCCATTCCCCAGCTCCTCTGGAATCGACTGATCTGAAAAATAAAAACAGTGATGTTAGAAGTTATTGCATTTAGGTCCAACTTTATTGCGTTTGACTACACCTTTCTAAAGAACATAATAAATGAAAGTGATTGTGTTAATCAAGTTGATTACAAGAAGCATTAATTCATAGGATTTCAGTAAACAGAACACCATTATTAATTCTGTAACATATAGCATTTATGTATTGGGAAAAAATCACTGCATGATATGCTCCCTGAAATACTTAATCAACTTTTAATTTATTCCCTCAATATTTCTCCATCAAGTATACTTTTTGTTAAATAAAAACAGGTACTTAATTTCTAAAATTCATTTGACCAACTTCTTAAATTGATAATATTAGCATTAATATGGGCATAAGACTTGAATACTGGAATTTTCATAATTGGTAAGGTGAATTGTTGCTTCAAAACTGACAAAAAATAAACTGCATACCTCTTCCTGTAAATTCTCAAGGTTGTCCCAGTAACCCTTTGGTTTGCGGTGCTTATAAGCTAGGGAGAGATTCATCAATGACGATACCCTTCGAAATCCACCCATGCGGGTAATGGCTTTTTCAATATCTACTCTACCATGTAAACGAAGTTGTTTTCTCATAGGCATAAATCCTTCCTGCCCATGTTCTGAAATAAATTTTAGGAGCTCAGCTTTAAGGACTTCTATGTCCCTCTGCAAACCTGGAACTCTAGGTCTTTGTTTAGATGAATTTGGACCATCTAAATTAGAAAGTTGCTTAGCTATTTCCGTATAATCAGTTTCATTGCTATTGCTGAATGAGGCAACTAATTCCTCTGATTGTCTGTCACAATATGCTTTTTCAGGGTTTTCTGCTTCCCTTTTCTCCACATAATCTCGAATAGCACATAAGTTTGATGGAAGATCTTCATAGATAACCTACAAGCTCCAAAATTCTTCTATCAATATCTTTATAAAGCTTCCTTTAAGTTGCTTCACGGCATAAATCTAAATGAAATAAACAAATAGTTTCTTCATCATAGATTTTCCATTAATATATATATAAATAAGTTCTACGACAAATTCTAATCCAAGCAGATGATGAAAGGATCTAAATGGAACACTCCGTATTAAATGCTGGTATAGAAGGAATTAAATATAATTAATTTGGGAATTGAAGGTTCACATCTATGGACTTCAAAAGAATTATAGGAAAAAATTAAAACTACGAACAACAGTCGCTTTTGATAATTAATGAAATTCCACTAAATAAACATTTGTGAACAGATGTGACAATGGTTGACATTTCAGAAATAATCTGTCAAGAATGGTAAAATTTACAAAAATAAAAATATCCCAGAATGAAGCAAATTTTGGCAATTTATTTTCATGGATTATCCGAACGTGCCCTAAAATTTGACAGAAATCCTGTACTTTCAAGTTAGCTTCAGATACACACTACATGTTTCACATTCAACTCTAACTTGTATAACAATTTATGAGCAAGACCTAATGCCCAGAATGTCACTATAACATATTATTTACATACCTCTTCCATAATAGCTTCAGAAAGCAATGAATTTTTGTGCATTTTTGACTCTACAGTGTACTTCAATAGTGTGTGATGACTACCCAGTTGTTCTAGAATCCATTTTCCCTGAAATGAGTCAAAGTCTCCCTCAACCTGCTCAAAACTAATCTCCTGCTCAAGTTGTTCACATATGTCTAGAACAACACGTGCATGAAGTACCATATACAGTAGGCCCTTGCATCCCTCCTGTACAAAGTTCTTGTAAGGTATAGGAATTTTTAACTGATAACATTATTGACATTTTAATGCAAAGACTATATATATTTGAGCTACAGAAGTCAGTATTCAACATCTGCTAGCTGAACAGAAGAAATGATGAAATGCTTGATTCTTCCATTCTCTACTGGTAAAATGATAGCAAACTTAATATAGAAATTAACAAGCAAAGAGTCTAATGAACATCAACAGGCTTAAATTACTTTTAGTTACATTCATACACATTATGAATTACTTTTGTTTACATTCATACACAATATGAAATTGACAAGAGGCCTCAATGTCTCTTGTTCAATGTATTGACTTTTGTAATCCATTAAATGGATCTTAACTTTTGTGGACAACTTTTTCACTTTCTATAATTATATCTATCAACGATATTTATATGTTTCTTCTCAATAATAATAATAATAATGTATTGACTTATTGTTTGTCTTTCTTTACTTCATACAGTTGACCAAACAAAAAGTGATCCTTCTGTTTTGTCACAATATACTGAACTTTCTTCATCAAAGTGCTCTTTCAATTCAACAAGATCTATAGTGTCATCCAATCACAACACATTTCAGCATGAAGCATACCTTCATAATCTAGACTTTGAACTTGAAAACTATTATTTGAGCTTTTGAATGCATGAGCTAAATAATCCATTACTGATTGATCAACAAATAGTTTTGCTAGACAAAAGAAAGATGACTGGCTGTATTAGGAAACTCTTCATTTTGAACTGGCCTATGCTGGCGTACAGCTTTTAGTTGGTGAGACTAGAAGCCTGTGGAAAACGTTGTTCGTCATTCACTGAACCACATAAACCAAGTTCTCATTTTATATTTGGGACTGCATGGGTTAAAACATGGACTAGTGTAGGGAAAGCACATATAATAGACCTGCCCCTCCCTTGGGTCTATTTACTGCAGCACAGGCATGCAAGTTTGCTACTTTTATAGGAATATTATCAATTGGGGGGCAATGTTTTATGTAACTAAGAAAAAAGAGACACAAGTTTCAAAATAGCTTACAATTGGAAGAAATGTTGTTAGAGATGTTAGATTTAACATTTTTAAGGGTAAAAATAGTATTTTGATAAGCGTCTAATATTTTATAATTCATATAATACTAAAAAAAATTAGTTAAAAATTAAATTCATATTAAAATAATAATAATTAAAAAATTGTTTTATTATTTTTATGATTATTAAAATATAGAAAAAGAAAAAAAAAAAGAAACGTAAGGGCCTTGGCAAGTGGCACAGCAACCAGCGTGGCCAGCGCCGCTAGCCATGTCCTGGCCTGGACTGGAGTGGCCAAACCGGGGGTTTAGGCCAGACCGTTGTCATTGCATGGCTAGCATTCTAGTCACAACTAGCTAAATCGGCTTGGGCGTGGCTAGATCGAAATAATTATTTTAATTAACATTATAATAATAATTTTGTTAATCAATTATTATAGATAAAATATCTATATGTTTCAAAATCTATATTTAAATATCAAATCGATTTTATCCAATTATTTTTACCTAGGTCTTTTTCCAAAATTTGGATTTAATAATTACTCAAACCTAGTCCTATTTATTATATAGTCTTAACCAACTAAACCCAATCCAATACTAGAAAACAATCCCCTTTGGTACGATTTGTCAAACTTGGTTAGAGTTTGAGGAAGATTACTCCAGTAATGTATCTTTGATTTCAGACATTACTTTATTTGGTTGTCAAATAATAAAATATTCTAATAATCTTCCAATACCAATAGTAATTACTGTAGGTGATATAAGGGGTTATGTGAATACTGAACCAGAGCTGTTATTAAAAGATTACCGAGGTAATCCAATTTTTATGCCAATTTTACCATTAATTAAAAAACATTTCATACACAAATATCATCATATGTCTACCAAATAACAACTAGTCCAACTATGCGAAATGACTTCTGTAACCTCAGCAATTAATTTTTTGGATAGAAATGTCGTCATTTTACATAAATTAATCTTAATTTTGTTACCATTTTACCCCCAAGTAATTAAATTTTTTGACAATAATACCCTTATTTTGAAAACTATTTATATGAATACCACCCAAAACACCTCAACCACCAAAGATGGCTATCGGCCATAGGTAACCATTGTTGGAGGTTTCCGGCAGTCGTCAGAATGGCGCACGAACAGCCGTACGCTGATCTAGCCAAAAACGACGACCAGATCCATAGTCATTTCCGGCAAGATCCATGGATATGACTGTTTACAACCATGGATTTGGCCGAAAACGACTAAATCAATGCACAACTAGTCAGATCCAACCGATCGTGTGCTGTTTTGGTGATTGTCGACAGCGTTCGACAGTGGTGCTAGCGACTGGCAGTCATTTTGGGTGGCTGGGGGTATTTTGTTAAATTTTAAACTTTTATTATAGCTGTGGTGTTTTAGTTAAATTCTCAAATGTAAGGAGTTAAAAGAAGTAGTAGTAATAATAGTAATTATTATTATTATTATTATTATTATTATTATTATTATATTGAAAAAGAAGGGCAATTTAGTAAAAGGCTTCTCTTAGAATTCTTTTATTCCCCCCTAATAGAAATAGTATAAAGCTATATTGAGGGCATTTGTGTAATTGTAATAGGGGTAAATATATATTAGGATGTATAATACATTTTTAATATGAAATATAGAAAATAGAATAATGATTTATTTATCATGGTATCAGAGCTAGAGTTTGCTACTGTTTCGTTTTCGTTCTATTTTGGCAGCCGACGATCTCTTTCTTGGTTATTATTGGAAGAGATTAGGAGAACAGATACCATTGAAAAACACACTCAGATATTATTGGAAAAGATTAGGAGAAGAAAAAAAACCGAGAAGAATCATCTGAATCAAAGGAGAAGAAACCGATCAGATGACATATGTTTGTGCTTTGTCTGATTTTGTAAGCAATCTAGTGCTAGCATTCTCCTTCTCATTGTTTATGTTGATGATATTGTGATCACAGATAGTGATAGTGATAGTGATAGTGATAGTGATGGCATTCATAGTTTCAAAGACTTTTTGGCTTCCAAATTTCACACGAAAGATTTCAACTCTTTAAGTTACTTTCTAGGAGTCGAAGTTTCTCGAAGTAGGAGAGGAATTGTCTTCTCTCAACATTAGTATGTGTTAGATTTATTGACTGAAACAGGCTTACTTGGAGCCAAACCTTGTGATACTCCTTTGGTTCCTAATGCGAAATTGAATGCTGATGAAGGAGAGGTGTTTGATGATCCAGAGTGATATAAAAGGATGGTTGGGAAATTGAATTATCTTACAGTAACCCGCCCAGTTATTACGTTCTTAATGAGTGTGGTGAGTCAATTTATGTCATCTCCCAGGACATCTCATTGGGATACGGTTCTTCATATCTTAAAATATCTCAAAAGAGCTCTTGGCTGTGGGATTCTTTACAGTTATCATGGTCATAGTAAAGTAGAAGGATTTTCATATGTGGATTGGGCAGGATCATCTGTAGCAAATGTTCTGTGACTGAATTTTGTGTCTTTGTTGGAGGAAATCTTGTTTCTTGGAAAAGTAAGAAACAACTTATTGTAGCTAGATCAAGTGTAAAATTTGAGTACTAAGCTACGACATTGGTGATGTGTGAGCTTATATGGACAAGACATCTTCTTGGAGAAAATGGAATTGGTGATCCAAGGACCATGGACTTGTGGTGTGACAACCAAACAGTCATACATATAGCAAATAATCTAGTTTTTCACAAGCGGACAAAGCATATAGAAGTGGATTGTCATTTTGCCCGAGAAAAGCTTGAACAAAAATTGAGTGCCACTAATCATGTTCAAACAGGGGAACAACTAGCTTATATCTTTACCAAGTCTCTAGTTGTTAAATGGGTAATCTACATTTGTAAAATGTTGGGCATGATAGATATATATGCTCCAACTTGAGGGGGAGTGATAGAAATAGTGTATAGTTATATTGAGGGCATTTGTGTAATTGTCATAGAGGTAAATATATACTAGGATGTATATTACGTTTTTAATATGAAATATAGGAAATAGAATATTGAATTATTTAACACCCCCAACCAAACATATTAATTATTTGTACCCATCAATTTATTCTAATCTAACCAAACATATATAATATAATATTTCTAGTAATCTTCAAGGTAATATATCTCCCTGGTAATCCTATCTTTTCAGTAATAAAACATTCTCAAAACCAAACGCACCCTTAGTGTTAATTTCATCAAACCTTTTGTAAGGAAAACATTATTATTATTATTATTATTAATTTTTTTATTATTATTATTATTTTTTTTTTTTTTTTTTTGTGGTAATCGTAGTGTTTGGGACAACTTACACGCACCTCTAATAATCCCTAGAGTTTTTTGAACATCTTACAAGCCCAAAGGACTAGGTAAACCACAATGTTATTATGGTAGATAAGCGTTTAAACCCAAAAACTCAAAGAAGGAAAAACATTATTAGAACGGACCAACTGTAAGAATTCAATGAGTTATACCTGAAGAATGCGGACTTTGTTGTTCTCTCGCGACAAAATCTTACTGATAGCTAAATTTGGAACAAACCTACAATAAGGAATCTTATAAGGTAACAAATCAAGAAGAATAAAACTTTGTTCGGAAATTGATTAAAGAAGACTTGTTTAGCTGGTATTTTGTTGTAATTTTAAAAATATGAAGCTTATATACAACAAAAATTAGACAACAACTCTTTTAGTCCATCAATCATATATATAAATAGATAAAAATGATATCTCTAGTAATCAGTGAGAAGTGATGCCCGAATAAACATACCTCGTGCTACTCAAGATTTTTTAAAATTCTTCTATATATTTGTTCATTCATTTTTAAAATGAGATGAAAATTAGACAAAGCCAAGAGAAAAGGAACTTGACCTTTCAGGATACAATGAATGAAATGACTACACTCGGTTAAGTTTCTTTTAGCCAGGGCAAAGAGTGGAAAGATGTATATTTTGCAATTATTTCTTTGTGGACTATGATATGCAAGATGCAGTAGATCTAACTTGAATGAAGTACCTGAATACAACTCTAATGAAGGTTAAGAAAGAGTGGCTCATAAAAGAAAATGAGGATAGAAGACAATAAAATAGACAAGAGGGAGAGAGGAGATAAACTAGTAGAGTAAAAACAAGAAAAATTTAAGGGAATAACCAATTCCCGTTATCAGTATTCAGTATCAAAGCCTGCTCAAATAACAAAACTAAATTAGGAAAATAAATCTAACTAAAACAATTAATTATCTGCCTAAAACAAATTTTTTCCTAAAATAATTACTAAAACTCATTCGTAGATTCCCATCAGGAGACCTAATTTCTTCAGACCTTAATATAAAACCCATCAAAGAAACTCTGATGAGTTCCTTGAGTTTGGCTAGGTGATAAGCATATCTCTACAGAAAAGGTATCCAATGCAACAGAAGCAGCTAGTGTAAAAGAGCACAGAGATAATATGAAGTCTATGAAATTGAATAAGTAGTCTCTCTAATCTGTGTAATATTTGGGTTAAACTTAAATAGGATAATATATTACATACAGAAGACAAGGACATATCACTTACTCAGGAAGACTCTCGTATGCAGTCAAAACAGTCCAAACTTCACGAACAGGAGCTTTCACGGTTATGCTAGCAACAACACAGCGATGAACACCTCCATTTTCCTTCAGCCCAAAACCATTTTATCAGCATCAGCTAAAACAAAAATGGCCCTCCCTGAGACAGGAAGACCTGTTCATTGAAGTCTAGAGTGAATGAGTTACCAATAGGCCATCAAATCTACGAAGATGAACTTCATCAACCACACAAGGCCTATCAAGTCTGCAAACTTTTCCAAATACACCCCAATTACTATTTAAATCATTTTGAGATGGCGGCACGGAACCAAAATTGGAGTTTGCTACATGTTCCTTAAACTTTCCAGATGCCTTCTCATGCAGGGAACTATCCAAGTCTATGCCAGGTGAAGCAAGGACAGGCAAAGATATTTGACCAAAGGAATTATTTATTAATAATGTCTTCTGATTCCCTTCAAAACTTCTTTCAGCTCGGCAAGCCAAGGCTTGAAGATTCACAGGAAGATCTGATCTGATTATTCTTTCCAAAAAAATGGCTGGGAAGTTGAATCTAGGAATCACATTGACTTCATATGTTAATACGGCGGTCGTCGACCTGTCAGAAAATAAAAAGATATAAAAGGTTATCGCGTGAAGTAATTAAAAAAAATAAAAAGAAAGAAAGAATTGTACCCAGATTAATAGTTTCCAAAAAAAAAAAAATTAATTGATTAATTAAGGGTGTAAAAAAATTGAGAATACCTATAATGGATCAACCCAAAATAATAGTTATAATAATATAGAAAATAAATATACAAATGACAGAGAAAAGAGAGTTCCAGCTAGATATTGACCCCAAAGTCTTTTCGATTCAAGGTCATTTTATTCTACATATATTCTTCTCCTAATTTCATGATATCAATGTAAGGAGCCTCACAACTTTATTGTAGTCACTCCTACAAATATTTTCATTTCTATTTGGGTTTCTACTTAACCTAGCAATGCTATTTTGGATCGCTAATAAGTTGGTGCTGTAATATAAGGGTGAATAGTATGTGATATCCCTATGCAGTTAATGGTCTAATCATGAATTTTCTAGTCTTAATGGCAACTAAAGAAAAGTTATAGATGCCTTGTTCAAACTGGGATAGCTTGTTCCATAACTCTGAAAATAAAGGTACGACCATATAGGCAATTGACCAATGCAAAATACATTCACAAGCCTTCAAAATCTACTCACAGATTAAAAAAAAAAAAAAATTGAGTAGTTGTTACATGCATCACTTAGAATAGGTGCTTTAAGCTTTAAACAAAAAAATAAGTAAATGAAAGAAAAAAAAAAAAACATGTGAAACGGTTTGGAAGGACTCAACTGACCAAAAATGCTGAAATAATTTCTGGTCATGAAAAAACAAAATTAAAGACCATGCAGAGTTGCCAGTGTGTGCAGTGCAAGCAGTCAATGATGGCAGCTACAAGAACCACCAACAAGAATCTGTAGATCGAGTGGAGATCTAGTGATCTACTAGTGTTAGAGAAAGAAAGGTACGAGTTACCAGTGACCTTTTCAACCAAAAAATATGGGGGAGAATGCCATTCTCCTCTACAAGACAATGACAAGGTATCAAAATTCATGAGGCTAGACAGATTGGACAGTGCTGGATCAAGTGGTGGTCATGCTGATGATGGAGGACAGATCTGCTGAATCAGTGTCATTCAACTAGCTGTTTCAAGTTGATGGCAAAGAGGCACCAATAGTTCAAAATCTCTTCTGCATGCAACAACAGGAGAGGTTGGGTTTCTCAGGAAATTATGAGCTCGATAATTAGGAAGTGAGATTTAACAAGTGCTATTGTGTATGTTTTAGGAACTGTGGGAGGCATGAGCTTATTTTGAATGGTTTAAACACACATGGAGCGTCTATGAAGGCTACGAGAAGCTAAGGTTGATTTAGCCAAGTCTTTCTTCTATATAAATGTCTTTTCTGTTTTTATATATAAAATTTAAAAAAAAAAATTAAGGTTGATTTAAGGTAAGTCTTTCTCCTATAAAAATACCTTTTCCGTTTTTATACAAACTATATATATTTTATTGAAAGAAAAATAAAAGTGGGATGGACAGACAGAAACAAGAAAGTGTAAGGGAACAGTAGAATATGTCAGATTGGAAAAAATTGATTTTGAAGAGAAAAATCTATCAATTCTGCTACGTATTAATCAAAGGATATCCCAAAACAAAACTTGAAGCACATTGTTATTACAACCACAAAATCAGTGAAACAGAAAGTAGAAATCTACTCTTAATAAGTAAAAACAAGCCAGTGAGATAGTTGGAATGATAATTTTCGTTTATAATAAATTACACTTGATTTGAACATGAGTATATTGGTTCTACCTTGTACCAGATTTTATGGACCATTTGCCCTCAAACTTCTTAAAGTCACCGTCAACCATTGAAAAGCGGAGTTCCCGATCATTGGCCTGAAATATCACACAATTATTTACATTCCATGTCCACACACGTATATAACAATCAAAAAGAAATGAATGATGATAAGAGCAAAATTTCAAGGACTTGATGTCATTTACCAAACCAACAAAACGACCAAAGTAGGAAAGAGGTTTTGGGTGGTGGGGGTGTCAGATCCTCTCCTAGGAGAAAACATAACCTATCTAATCCATTTTAACTACATATTAGCAAATGGTATGAGTTCAATTATACTGGTACCTAATGGATATGATTAGAATACGATGAAGATCCAAAAAGTCAAACTAAGAAATTATGTATATGATTAGCATAACAAGAACATGACCTCTATTGTCAAAATATTATTCACTGAAGAGTCAGTGCTAAACTTCTAGTCAACCAAGGTTTGTCCAAGAAAGCATCTTCTTCTTGCATGATGCTTATGAATTGAAATTCAGTGTCCACATAAATATTGAAGAGGGGACATGCTTCAACAAAATCTCCAATGGTCAAGCCAGGCCCTAAACCAAGCCATTCATTAATAAAATTTTATAAAATTTATATTTTTCCTTGCAGTTAATCAGTTAAACTGTAGTCTAAAATTAACAAGACAAATTTGGTACATGCCTTTGATACAAATCACTAAACAGCTAAGTTTTCAGTTCATCCTTGTCAATAAGAATTGCAGTTTAATTTCTCTTAACACTTTGTCTGTTTTGAATTCAAGAAGAAAATACTACTCATGTTAGTTTAGTACAGATTAAACAGGTGAGTCTGACTACTTTAATTCTATCAGGACTGATAATCAGCTGTCATTCCCAACTCAAACATCCAAAACCCAGAGATAGTTTCTATCTCAATAACATAATTGCCACCGGATTAGAGATAACACGTCTTCCATTCATTACTAACTGCAATTTCATTGAGATTAATACTAATATGCATCTGTATAGCACCTAACGAACACTCACTACAATAAAAAAAACCTTTTGCAAGAAGCATATTGTTGCAACAGTTGACATTTAACTAAAAATAGATAAAGATCCTCTATACAAATTGCTTCTGATATTCTGATGACAACTACACAACTACTTACCCACTTAACCATAGAAATCATAAAAAATATTCTACCTTTATTAAAACTCAAAAGGGCTTAAAAGCTTTCATGTTCATCATAAAATATCATCTCATTTCTTCCATATAACACGACAGTAGATTGTGACCAACTTGTCCAGTACTCCGTCCCCTGACTAACTCTGCAATTACATTACTTCAGTTGTTCATAAGTTATCATTTTTAACTCCAAGTGCTTTGAGATATTTACTTTCAGATAAGCCTGTGTCTTTTCATTTATGTCAAGTATGCAGTCATGAATCAAAGACCAAGCATTGGCACCAAACTAAAACATGTTTTAACCATTTTAAAAAACTTTAGTTCAAATTCAGCAAAACTAAAATGGAAAAGTTGTAAAATGAGATTAAAAAAAAAAAAAAAAAAAAGGTTGACCACTGAGTTAAAACCTAAGAAGGGTGACCATCCCATATAAATACAATCAGAAATAAATGTCTACATCGCCAATTGAAACAGGCCCTCCTTGGAAATAAATTTTTTCTGTCTATACAAAAAGTGAATGCAAAACTCCTTCCCAATTTGAACAAAAGCATTTAGAATTCAGTGATATAACAGAGGAATCGAAGTTCATTCTTTCTTTTACAGCTTTTGTTCTTTTCTTCAATTCCACTCATTGAGAAAATTATATTCTGGAAAATATACAACCTTTGCTTCATCATGTTAGAACTAAAGTTGAAAAAAATGAAGTAAGAAAAGATATTCAACGAATGGAAGATGAAAATCAAGAGTTAATAGTTGAAAATCTTGTCAAATTAAAGATCACTATAGACTTTTTACACGTCTGAAGATAACCTATGTTAAACCAGGCTGAATAAGTGATTATATATTCATTATCAATTAAATTCAGAGGAGGCTCCATCAAGAAGCATATAGAGACCCAACCTACAGTGGCAACTTTCAGTGAAGCTTGCAGCTGTACCACTATTTTCACAGTCACTCACTTTATTTACTGACTGTGAGCACACTAACATGGATTCTCATGTGAGAGAAGCAACTTCAGATTATTTGATTCCATTCCTTATGCCTGCTACCATGACCGTTTCACTTTAATCAAATCGAGCAGAATATCATGTTCATCGAAATTAATTAAGCATACACCTTCCCTCCCTTGTGCTTCTACCAAGCTGCCAGAGAAGTTTGTTTGTGAACAGACTATCCTGGAGGTAAATTCATTTACACAGTTCTACAAACAGAAGTTTGCTCCAGAAAAAAAAGAAATGGATGATGGAGATGAACTGACACCAACGTTACTATGAACCTCTATCACCAAGGTTTTCATAGTATCACTCTTTCCATAACTCAAGATTACACATAGATTTTTATTAAATAATTGTTTACATTTCTGTTTTTTTTTTTTTAATTATATAGCCTTCCAACTCTGTTACTAATAATTGTATCCAGAATATTACAAGTTGCTAGGCCTAGTAGCATGGCTTGTTGACAAACAAAATGTTTTTACAATTAAAATGAGAGAAGAGAAGCAAAGCGAGTTTAAGAAGTTAACTTTAATTTCTCTTCACTAGTTTAAATGGCTCTTGAAATCTCTCTTTCCACTTGCATAATGACTAAAGTGGTGGGCTAGGAAGAAGTTGTAGCTTATATTTGTTTCCACTTTTTTCAACTTTCCCCTTGGGTTGGCATCCAAAACTTTCTAAATGCAAACACTTCAAGGGTTGACCTAATCAATCTTTACAACCAATTTCTTCGTAAAAAAGATAAAAGAACATCAAGCACAACCTTTCCCTAGATGCTTACAAGCTTATTTTCCATACTTATATACAATTTCCGAATACTCAGCGCAAAAACAAGCGAAGAGGCAGATAATGTATGAACCATAAGTCTCTCATCTAAGTCTTTGTAAATTCAAATACCAGTTCGCGCCAAAGATTAGAACTAGCACATGTATCATTCTTTTACCAATATTCAAGGGAAAAAAAAATATATCAATGAGTATGAGTTTGGGATTCTTACTGAATGAAGAAACTCTTGGAGATCCAATACTACTCGAGCTTCAATATGCCAGTATAGCGCCCTTTGCAAACCTCTCTGCTCCAACCATATCCTCCCAGGATGTGGACAAGGAATTCTCCCACTGTTTTAAATAACAATCGTTAATTATAACTCAAAATAGTGCATTCAAAGCATAATATAACAATATTCACAGACCTGGAAACAAGATTTGGGATAAAATCCGCAAGGCGTTCATAGTCGGTGAGAGCATTCCAAACAGAGTCGACATCTGCACTAACCGATATTTCGGCTTTAATTCTCCGTTCCCGCCATGAAACCACTTCAACTTCACAACGCACCTCGTTAGCTCCTTTCTCAACCCTAATCTTCCCATTACCATTTCCATTGTTATAATTACAGTTATCCTTGGAAACGTAAATTCTGCTACTGTTGAGTTTGATTCTGTTTCTTTTAAATGAGACCACGCAACATTTGCTTTTGCTTTTGCTGCGCTGAAATATTTGGAATGGAAATTCTGCAAGTATAGGTTCGTTGTTGAAGGTTGAAGCTTTGCAAGGGACGATCATGGATAGGTGAGTGGAAGAGGGACTGAGTGCTCTACTGTTACAACTACAACACAACAGTAGACCACAAGTTTTTCGTGTTAAGTTATTTCTTACAGGTTAATGAGTGGCTCGTGTCTGTCTACGGAATGTATGGTTGAAAATTATTTGGGAACAAAAAAAGCAAATCTTTTGGGGGACATTGTGGTTGGCCAAACTTTGGGGATTAAACAAAACTAACGACCTTCCTAAATTATAAACTACGTGGTTTCCTTTTTTATCTTCACTCCTCGGAGAGAGAGTTAAGTAATTGCACCAACGATTCCTTATTAAATATAGTTAAACTTTAATAAATTAATATTTTTAGAATCATAAAAAATTGTTAATTGATCGATATATTATTTAATCATATAAATTAATAAATTATTAATTTATTGAGACATTCTTTTTTTTTTTTTAATATTAAACTTAATGCAAGTACATATTATGTATAGTTAATATGATATAGAAAATAACTGTTCAAAATAACACCAACCTAGCTTATAGTTAGAAGTTAATGTGGTATAGGTAATAGCTCATAATCAATGTAGTATAAAGAATAGTTTAAAAGTCTCCTAATTGAGTCATGTATATATATAACTTTGATATATAAGGAGATTATTACTTTAAATATCAAGTGGTACCTATGTAATTTTTTTTTTTTAATGTATTATCTAATAAATTTTATGAATTATAAATTTATAACATCGGTCCCAAGTCGAGATGGACCAAAGATATTATTTAATCGAGACTATTAATTTATTGAGGCTTAACATTATCTCCTTTTTATTACAATTGGCTCTTAAAAAAGTCTACATAAGTCAAACGAGTGTAAGTAGGGGTGCTTAACGGGCCGAGCCGCTCCCGAGCTAGCTAAACTCGACTCGAGTCTAGCTCGTTAACGGCTCAGCTCGTTATATAACGAGCCGGCTCAGCTCGGTTCGTGAGCCAGAACGAGCCGACTTCGAGTCATACCCAACTCGGCTCGTTAGGCTCGCGAGCCGGACCTGGCTAAAAAAAAATTGATTTTTTTCTAAAAAAATTGAATTTTTGAGAGTCAGCTCGCGAGCTGGCTCGAACTCGGCTCGATCCGACTCGAAATACCCTAGACTCTTTTCCAAGCCGAGCCGAGCCGCAAATTTCATGGCTCAGCTCGGATCGGCTCGAGCTCGGCTCGATTAATCTTCTTCTCTCACGAGCCGAGCTCGTTAAGCTGAAAACTCAGCTCGGCGCGGCTCTTCTCGTTAACACCCCTAAGTATAAGGTATATAGCCAAATGGTTCAAGAGTTTTTAGGTAATTATCAAACAAAATAAAACTTTTCTTTATCATTTATTTGTGAGTGGTGTTAAATGAGATTATCTATCTAGCAGCCACTTTTCCATATTTTCTATTTGTTGTTAGACTATAATACCCTTAAGCACCTGAAACTCAAAACAATATGCTTTTGCCATCTCATGTGTTGATTTATAAAGACTTTCACATGAGAATACTAAAAGCTCTTTCCTATCCTCAAGTGGCCACTTCTTCCAGCACTTTTTACTATCCCGCAACTTAAAATCAAATGTATAAAAAAAGTATTCATGAAATATTTGGTCAATCATGCAACTTTGCCACTTGAATAATTGAATCATCTCATTTATACTTGACATATGTGGTGGATATAAAATAATGATGAATCATCACATTTTGTTTGTCTGCGTCTTCAAATTTGGGGCACACTATCTCGGGGATAAGAACATTTTACTTGTACGAAAAATACCAACTTATTTAGGGTAATACTACGCTGGCAAACGAATCTCACAAACTTTCTTTCACAAACCTGACATGGCATTAAGTTGGCATTACCGCGTCAACTCACGGTTTTGACTAGACATAAACGGTCGTTCATCATATAAGAAACGATCATTCCTTAGGGATGAACAGTCATTCATCGTATAAGGAATGGTCGTTCCATAGGAAGGATGACCATTCCATCATAGAATGGTCATTCCTCCAGGTGGAATGGCCATTCCATGAGGAATGGCCGTTCCTCATCCAAGGAATATTCATTCCATCCAAGGAACGACCATTCCTCCATTCATAACAGCCGTTCCCGACAATTCTGGTGGGAGCTGCCAACACAGGTGCCATGTAAGGATTGTGAGAGAAAGTTTATGAGATGCGTTTGTCAACGTATCTTTATTCATTTATTTAAGGCCAAGTGAAGGCAAAACTATCAAATGGAACCTTCAAAGAAACAATATCTATTCGAACCCTTCAAGCAGCAAATAACTATTAGAACGTCGAAGAAGCAACTATCAATTTCAACCCTTCAACCCAATTACACCCAAATATCAGATTAATTCTTACAATTAAATGAATAAGAAACTGAAATTAAGACAAAAACTGACAGACAAATTAACAAATAAACTCTGCGCAAGAAACCAAACCAAATTAAAACTCATGACTTAAATAATGCAACAATTTAAAAGATGAAAGATTAAAAACGTGGAAATAAAAAATAAAATAATAACATGGGGAGCAATGCTATGCTTACAACTAAGTCATACAAACAGGCAAAAAATAAAAGGACAGGCAAAAAACAAAGGACATAATAGTCATTTTACATGAATTTTGTGTAATTTGTGTCTATTCGTATGATCAGTTGTACGCAAAACATTATTGTAACACAGGAACCAAATGCCAAGAACCTGCACTCTACGTGGAATCAAAATAGAATTGGAAGCACAACAACATAATACGAACAGAGGAAATGCTAGATGTACAAATAAATTTACAAAGATTTCTTGTACAAAGTGATGTGGTAGGAGATGAATGGAAGAGTGAATATGATGAGTTTGACTTTTGGTGTTCACTTTTCCATTCATCTCTTGTTACATCACTTTGTACAAGAATCTTTGTAAATTTCTTTGTACGTCTAGCATTATTGTACGAAGAGATTGCCAAGGTGTGACTAAAGGATCATTAGTCTAAAGACTAATTTCGCCTCTATAGGTAAGATATTGGTGCAAACGTTTTGTTGTTGCGAGATTCCACACCAACTAAAACATCGACGTGATATTCCACACTAACCAGAGATACTCGATTGACCCAGGAGGGAACCGAGCAAGATGGGTGCGTGATTCTTGGGAATCAAAAGAAGTAACTTGACTCACACATGATGGTGGTTGAGGTTGAGATTGGCCTCCTAGAAAATGGTGTAGGAACTAATCATTTTTAAAGTGGTTCGGCTGGGAAATGAATAAGGCCTATGTCCACTAATATATTATTGGGGTGTTTGATTTTTTATTGCAAAGGGTGGATTTCGTAGTACTAAAGAGGAGGTTCTTACTAAGTTTATGCTTAGGAAATAAGGGAAAGCTATGGTCCAACAAGAGTAGAGAATTTTAGTGGAGACTACTCAAGTATGAGGTAAGTAAATCCAACTCAAGCTGAAGTTTAAGAAATTCTTAAGTAGAGATTTATTTATGCATGTATATATGATGCTTATTGAGAAATTGAGTAGAGATGTATGTCTATTTGTTGAGGAATTGAGTTGAGAAGAGTATTTATGTTATGTTTGTTGGATATTTCCTTTATGGGAAATGTTAATGTGTGATGAGTTTGAGATGAAGTTGGAGGAGATTGAATAGATATTTTGGGAGTGTTCTTTTATGATAGGAACCATGCCCATAGAAGGGAGTTTCTTCCCATTTTGGATGGTTAAAAAGAGAAGTATAGTTGGAATTATAGAGGAGTTTTTGTATGCACATGAGTTGCTTGATGAAATGCCTAAGTGAAATCTGTCCTGTCACTGCTGTGACTTTCTAAGTGATTTTTGAGCATTTTACGGATTGAACTGGGTTGAGACCAAAATATCAAAGTTATAGCCCTGTTTCTAAGCTTTAAAACGAGACCAAAACCGTAGCAATCTGATGTGTATAACGCAAGGTATGCCCTTTTTAGTGTGACCTGTGCAGAATGACCATTTTGGAGCAACATTGCATTTGGCATTTCAAAAGTGCATTAATGAGTATGAACCATCCATATGCATTAATTATGCATTGAGAAGTAGTTTGAGAAAGAATAGAGAATGTTGAGTATGAGCTACATTATGAGTACTAGCTTAAGAGTAGAGAATTTTGAGTATAAGCTATACTATGAGTAATGGTTTGAGTGAGAAAGAGTAGAGAATGTTGAAAATAGCAACTCTTAAGAGTAAAGAGAATGAGACTACTCTGATAGTAAAGAGAAAGAGATATTGAGCACTAGAAGAGAGAAAAGTGCTACAGAAGAGAATAGAGTAAGTTGTGTGATGGGAAACCTGTGAGTGACGAATAGTCACGAGAGTGGGTGCTTTGTGATCCCCAGCCGTGCCTCCGGTAAGAAGGGGCCGTGACATTCAGAGAGAGAGAGAGAATACACTCACATGGCCAAAGGTTCCGAATCCATGCATAACTAAACCCGATCGGTAGCGAAATAAGCGGAATTCACGTAGAGTGGTAGCGCCCAGCCGTGCCTCCGGTCAGATGAGGTCGTGACATTCCAATGAGTAAGAATGAGAAAGAAAAGAAATAGAAAGAACAGAGATGCGAAAAGCTAAGAGTTAAGCTATCTTATGAGTAGTAGCTTGAGTATGAGTACTAACTTGAGAACTTATGAGTAGTAGCTTGAGTATGAGTACTAGCTTGAGAAAGAGATGAGCAAACATGAGAAAGAATAAGAGAGAGATACGAGCATAGAGTAGGTTATGCGATGGGGAACTCGTGAGTAATGGGTAGAGTATTCCCGCATGTACGCCGCATTGAGAGAGCGGCATGAGTATGAGATAGAGAAGTGGTGTAGCCCGTGAGAGTGCATGCGGATGAGGGCTATACCCGAGTACCCGAGAGAGAGATCATATACTCACATGGCCAAAAGTTCCGAATCCATGCATAACCAAGTCCGATCGGCTAGAATGAGTAGAAGTCACGTAGAGTGGGAGTGAATCCCGGCCGTGCCTCCAGTAAGATGAGGCCGTGACTACTAAAGAGTGAGTTAGTAGAAATGATTTATGAGAGATGAGAATGAG